GATGATCGCCAACAAAATGATTAAGACAAAAACAGCGAAAAGTTTTTTGAAACATAGAAAACTATGATAACACCAATACAACGTCGTACAACTTCACTCGGTATGAATGGAATTCGAAATAAAATGCAAATTACAATTTACCGTTACAATAATCAAACTTGCTGATAATCATGATAAAATATTTCTGCAATCAAAAACATTATGACACATTCAAGTTATTTATTATTCATATGAACATCCATTCAATGCATTAAACAGCGATTTCATCACAGTATAATACACAATTATTAATCATCGGATTCATTCTCCTCTTTCACTTTATCCGCTTCTTTTTTTCCAACAAATCCCTCAGATTTGTTATCTCCATCTAAATCCTCTTTCTTTACTTCATTCTTCATGCTATCTTTCTGTTCCTCTCTCTCAATATCATCGTCCATCAACAACGGATCAACGAAATGTTTCCGTTTCTTGGTTGGAATCTCTTGCAGTGGAAACACTTTTTTGATCCATTTCAGCGGTTCTCTGCAATCCATCGAATAAATATGGATGGATATCAGATATATTAGACAAATCCTCATCAAATCATCAAAATTCCACTCACTCAGCCGCTTCTAGTAGACTTGGTTTGGGTTGAAGACGCTGCTCGATGATTGGACTATCGAAATCCGGTAGCTCTTCGTTAGGGTTCAGCGCTCGATGCTTGATCGCCTCACAAACTCGTTGCATCTTCGGATTTGGCACATCTCGTGGCCGTAAATCCTCGACAAATTGCCCACTTTCCGGATCACTTGAACCAGCAAGGAAATTATTCTCCATTCCCTTTCGCACCCTTCTTTTTGCTCACAACGAAATCATTCTCTTTTAAATCACTTCAAAAACAAAACAAAAACTTCATCCTTCAACCAAGTCAATACTCACTAATAGGACTGCATCAGATCCATTGCATCCACAAACGCTTCCATTGATTTGAGTTGGTCAGCTGAAAATGGCAATATTTACAAATGAGACTGAAGTACTGAGAAATTTTCAGTTCAGCAGGAACTTTAAAAACCTCGCACGTATACACAAATAATCGAACACACCGTTTGGTTTATTCGCCTCAGTGTCTAGCGATGGGAATTCCAAACCTCGAAAATCCTCGTAGAACGGTAGGAGTATAGCGACGAACATCTAAAATTATACACTAGCTACACCATCGCTGTCAGATCGATCGTAACGTAATCAATCGATAAAAGTGATAACAGCAACGATAATAATAACAAATAAAACATCAACAATAATAGATGCAACCTACATCCACTCCTTTTTTACTGGTCCTCGGAAACAACGCCATAATTCGTGGATATGAGGCCGCATTATAGACGTATCGCACCAACGCAACACACTCTTCTTCTAACATTGCACGTACCAATGCCGAGATCGCTACAGCTCCATCCTTCAAAATTCACATTATGTTGGTCACCAAGATATCGATATCGTTGTTACAATCATTATTATCTCAATTCTTGCTCTCATTATTGTTGAAAATGCTTCATAATCTCAGCTCTACTTCACAATTTCATCATATTAACTTGGTTGACATTACAATACAATACAAAAAACAAAACAAATTCACTGCCAAATACAAATACAAACCCTATCATCCGTTGGTGGCAGACAATAATAAGCACTACCGTCCATCAAATAATGCTCAAGAATCTGTAAACCATATGAAATTCAATCTCTCTAACGTTAGCTCAATGGCGATTTGTGAGATAAATTAAAAAATTGCAGCCATTTCTTCACATGAAGAC